GAGGCCAGCCTGGGCTACCAAGTGAGTTCCAGGAAAGGCGCAAAAGCTACACAGAGAAACCCTGTCTCGAGAAACCAAAAAAAAAAAAAAAACAGCTTGGTACTGGCATAAAAACCTACATGTGGACCAATGGAACCGAACTGAAGCCCCTTACATTAATCCACACACCTATGAACACTTGATTTATGATGAAGAAGCCAAAACTGTACAATGGAAAAAAGAAAGCATCTTCAACAAATAGTGCTGGCATAACTGGATGTCAACATGTAGAAGATTGCAAATAGATCCATACCTGCCATCATGCACAAAACTTAAGTCCAAATGGACCAAAGACCTCAACATAAATCCAGTTACTCTGAACCTGATAGAAGAGAAAGTAGGAAGGAGTCTTGAATGCATTGGCACCAGAAATGACTTCCTAATTATACACTAGTAGCACAGACACTGATAAAAAACAGTTAATAAATGGGACCTCTTAAAACTGAGAAGCTCTTGTAAGACAAAACCACAGCCTACATCATGGGAAAAGATCTTCACCAACCCCACATCTGACAGAGGGCTGATCTACAGGATATATAAAGAACTCAAGAAATTAGACATCAAAATACCTAATAGTCCAATTTAAAAAAATGGGCTACAGAGCTAAACAGAGAATTCTCAACAGAAGAAGCTCAGATGGCTGAAAGACATTTAAGGAATTGCTCAACATCCTTAATCATCAGGGAAATGCAAATCAAAACTACTCAGATACCATCTTACACCTGTCAGGATGGCTAAGATCAAAAACACTGAAGACAGCTTATACTGGAGAGAACGTGGAGCAAGGGGAACACTCCTACACTGTTGGTGGGAATGCAAGTTTATACAGCCACTTTGGAAATCAGTATGGTGCTTTCTCAGAAAATTGGGAATCAATCTTCCTCAAGACCCAGCTATACCACTCTTGGGCATATACCCAAAGAATTCTCAATCATACCACAAGGACACATGCTCAACTGTGTTCTTAGCAGCATTATTTGTAATAGCCAGAACCTGAAAACAACCTGGATGCCCTTCAACTGAAGAATGGATAAATAAAATGTGGTACATATACACAATGGAGTACTACTCAGCAGAGCAAAACAATGACATCATGAAGTTTGCAGGCAAATGGATGGAACTAGAAAATACCATCTTGAGTGAGGTAACCTAGACTCAGAAGGACAAACATGGTATGTACTCACTCATAAGTGGATACTAGATGTAAAGCAAAGGATAACCAGACTGCAAACCACAGCTCCAGGGAGGCTAGCTAGTAAAGAGGACCCTAGGAAAGACAGGGATCACCCAGTGATGGAGAAATGGATGAGATCTACATGAGCAAACTGGATATGTGTGGGGGGTAGAGGGCAAGGGTGGGGGAAAGAGAGCTTAGGAGAGCGGGAGTTTCAAGCTGGATCAGGAACAGAGAGGGAGAACAAAGAGATACCATGATAAATGAATACACCATAGGAATAGGGAGAAGCAGAGTGCTAGGGAGGTCCCCAGGAATCCACAAAGATACCTCCACCACAGACTACTGGCAATGATCGAGAGGGTGCCTGAGCAGACCTACTCTGGTCATTGGATGGCTGAATACCCTAACTGTCATGATAGAGTCCTCATCCAGTGACTGATGGAAGCAGATGCAGAGATCCACGGCCAGGTCCCAGGCAGAGTTCCAGGAGTCCAATGGACAAGAGAGAGCTTTTGTGGGTCACAGTGAAATGCCATCAGAGTTCAATATATTCCCCAGAAATCTATTCATCTCAGAAACAAAAATAAAATCAACAAATTCAGTAGTACAAACTCTCATAAAACTAGAAAAGAGCCTGGAGCCCAAACATTGCTTGCAATTTCCACAAACACCAAGTTTTCCATTTTCTTCCCTTTTCCTCAATCCAAGAGAGGTGATGATCCTTTCAAAGATTTTAAACAAGAACTTTTTGTTGACTTCCTATAGTTGTCTGTTACTAGAGTCTCTATCAATGTCACATGTGAACCTTTGCCATCTGAGCAATGGCTCCACCTATTCCCTTCACACCCAACTACATACTGAATGGTCAAACCAAGAACTGTGCAGTGTGCCACACCAAAAATAAAGAGTGGCATTTATGGCTAACTTTCATGGTTTAATAGGTGCAGGCTTTGTTCATATGGCTTCATGGCTTCCTGACACCTGGAATAGAGGCCAATCAGCCTGGGTCTGAATCCAGCCTGCCTCCGTGCCTTGTATTTAGAGGACTCTTCTAGCAACTTCCTTTGCTTAAGCAAAGAGAGTAAAGAAAGTCTCCTGCAGCAACTCTAATGATGTCTGCCACTCTTCTGAGGCCACAAGCAGACCTAACCAGGCTCATTCATGGTCCTGGGTTGCTTAGGTCAAAACAGACAGCTAACATCCAATAAAAGGCTGTGGTTTCTGAAGGAGGAAAACCTGGAACTGAGTCATAGCTGCACTGTTTAATTGTATCAAGAGCCTGGGCAAGACTTCATAACCTGGACTCCTTGTCTGTGTCCACCTCATGGGATGCTGGGAAGACTCACCAAGATGCTTATAGAGGTCCTGAGAGTGCATGATCCACTCAGATGGCCTCCTTCATAGCTAGTACCTTTTTGTTATAATACTGAAGGAACGAACATGCAGGGTTTTCCAAGCTCTAAGCAAGAGGATGTGGGAAGCAACCTGAGTGAAGAGCCAGGCGGAGTCTGCGATTCAAGTCACAGGAGTCTCAGGAGCCACCCCCACTGAAGGAAAGGCATTCGTGGCGCAGGAAGGAGAAGATGCCCCTGTCACTCCACCTTTGTCAAGACAGTTTCAGTATTAACGCTGTTTCTACAAAATCGTTTAGAAGAGAACAGGCGAGTCCGGTAGAGAAAACCAGAGGTCTTTTTTTAGGTCAATGGACATGAGAATCAGCAAAGACCTTGGAAAAGATGGGTTTTGCCCCTTGCTGGTCTCACCAGAAGACAATCCTGACCCCTAGTGTCCCAGTGGTGGCTACCATGGTAGCTTGAGATGCAAATAAAAAAAAAGAGGGAGCAACACAGTGTGCAGGCAGGGGTCTCATCACACCCTATTGCTCTTCCCAATATCTACAAGAGGTGAAGAAAGAAGTTGGAGGATAGTCCCCCGCCCACTCTCAAGTTACCCAGAATTCCTTTAACTCTCTACTTCCCTTGGGTGATCCTCCTCTAAACTGTACGGTTTCCCACACCTGACCTGCTTCCCCAGGAAACCCCAGGGGCTTTATCTGTTTCTCCTGACCCCTACCAAGTGACAACCAAATGCAAGCTTCCAAAGTGCCCAGCATCAATGTGACGACGCCCGGATGGTCACAGACCTGGGCCAGGCAGTGCCTGAACTTCAGAAGCTTACCTAGATTTCTCTGTGTGGAGAGCATGAGTGATGCTGGTCTGCATTTCCACTAAGGCAGTCAAAGAACATGCACACAGCAGGACAACTGAGAGGAACCACAAGAGTCCAGGCAGTACAGCGAGGAAGAGAGACTCATGAGCACACAGGATGTGCGGACGGCAGTGACTGGACTGGGGATTCACAGGACGCCTTCAGAATGTAATGTTTCAATACCACTAAAGTGCTAAGTCCACCCCACACTCCGCCCCCACACAGACTATGAGATGTCACACTAAATCACCAGTAATAAAGGATGCTCTCTGGGGACAGGCAGGTGCAGGACACCTTTTTAAGGCAGCGGGAAGAAATTTCCTCATTCTTCCAAGAGAAGAGTAAGAATTATATACAAGGTGGCCAACAAGTCTGGAAACCAGGGAAGTCTTTAACAAATGCTTTATTGTCATATGATGATTGACAAAATATCAGCGTCTTCATTTCTGGACTTTATGGCCACCTATAGACTGCATCTTTGGAATAGGAAGAAAACAAAAAGAGCTTTACCATAATGGTAAAGCTGTCTTTCTCAGTACAGGTGCAATGTACATCTAGTGCAAGATGCTTCAAGCCCACAGGCTTGTTCCCTTTACTGACTTCCTACCATCTGCTTGGATCACTCACAGAAGAAAAACACTGTCAGCATTAATATTTAGCAGCATGTTCAATATTCATCTTGCCTTGACTAAAGAAGCCTAAACCATCTCATTAGTCCAGTGATTTCCATATGATTACTACATCAATGCAGAAGATACGACCATCCCACATTTCCTTAAGTGAGCATTTCCCTTGTTTTTGAGAATTCCCAAAGACTTTGGGGAATCTTTTTTAAACAATAAAAGGTACAGAGTAGGTTCAGGACAGTCAGAGCAGCTGTTTAACCAAGTAAGCTTTCTGCCTGGCTCAGATCCCAGTATGAAGGGATTGAATCCAGTCCCCTGGTTCTCAGTTTGTAGAAAGAGGAAGTTAAGAGGGATAAAGGCGGAAACTATCATGTTACTGAATCACCTATGGAGGGAGCAAGCAGACGAGAGAAGACACAGTCAGCAGAAACTAGGGTGTCTAAGATTGGAGGGAGAAACAGTCACTGTGGAGAATCAGTCACTGAGCGCAATCAGCATCTATTCAATCGTCATCAAGAGAGTATGGCAGAGGACAAGCTGGGACAATAGCCCTTCAAGTTCTCAGGCTTACAGTGTTGTGGTTCAACAGCCTGTGTGGAAGGTGGCATGAACCAGAGATTCCTCCACCATCGCACGCAAAAAGGCTATGAGAGCAGCACGTGGCTGTCAACCCATCTAGTGTAGGCTCAACACTGGTGGGCATCCAGTCTGTACTCACTTTCCCGTGAAGGGCGTGATGCACCTGCAGAGCTATACCTTCTTTTCAAAGGCAGGAGGGTTTCTTCTTCACGAATTCTTTCTACCTACTAGATTTGCCTCATTACTTCATCACTTAAACTAGAAAAGATGCTGCACGCTGTCTCAGCTAGCTTCTGATTTGGCCAGGGCACCAGGACTGCACGCATGATTGAGGAAACGACCATGTCTTCTTGGTTCTTCCGATGGCAGGCTCAGTATGCTTCCTTGGATTGAATAGGTGCGATTTTGTTTGAGAAAAGCGTGTAAACACAAGGCCATGTTTTGTTAGTCTCCGTCCCAGAAAACTGGTGGAGCACTCCGCGGCTCTTGTACAGTTCGATGTCTGGTTTTGCCGCATCCTTGGACCGCCATAGCCTGGCAGCAACTGCTTCAGGTTTATCACCTTCCTGTTGGACAGGTGGCTCACCAGTGACGTCATCAATCCCCTGCACTTGAGGCGGGTTGAAGTCCAGGTTATAGACTCTCCCACTAGAAGGGTGAACCCATTGTTGGCTCAGACGATCCTTAAGTGTCTCAAAAGGAATATGTCTCAAACTGACCACAAGGTCCACATCGCAGATTCTGTCCAAGGCTTCTGCCTGTACTAATGTCCTCGGGAACCCATCTAGCAGCCAGTGTTCGGTGCTCCGGGTCTCCAGTTCTGACACCGTTAGGCGTGTGATCACATGATCTGGAACCAAAAGACCTTTTTCTAGGAACTGCTTTGCCGTGTCATCAACTTCCCTGCTGGCCTTGAGGTTCTCCTGCAAGAAGTGGCCGCAGGAGAGATGCCTGAGGCCAAAGTTCTGGGCGATCCTCTGGCCCTTACCCGAGCCGGGAGGCCCGAGGATGACCACGCGCAGGAGTTTGGAAGCCATGGCTTTGGCGGGGAGGGGGTGGCCTGGACCGCAGCCCGAGCACTTTGCCGGACAGGCCCTGCCTGGGCACCCTCCGCAAGCGTGGATTCGCCTGCCCAGTTTTCTTTTCTTGGTGGGGCTGTCCGTTAAACACCAATGTTTCAGTGATTTCTCAAAAAATTAGGATAATTTCATGTAGAGAGAAGGGTCCAATGGAATAATTTTAGACTTACCTATTTCTGCTTGGGATCCAATTTTCCCCAGTTTTCTGCTGTTTCACAAGATACTGGGTTTGAATTAAAGAATCTTTCACTCACACACAAAATAAAATTGTCAAATTGCTTTCCAGGGTGGTTGTACCATTTTGCTTCCCATTGACAGGTGAAACTGATACATCCAAACATGAATTTTTCTATGATCAAAGAAAACCTAGGTATTTGATTTTCCAAAAACTTACCAAATTGTTTCACAGAATGTTTGTACCATTTTGGTTCCCATTAGTAATGTCTGACTGCCTACATGAGTGTTCAACTATGGCATGATTTTATCTTTGTCCTTTTTTAAAATAGAAAATGAAAGCGTTATTGTGGTTTAAATTTGCATGTTCCTGGTGGCTAGTCATTTTGAAATTTTCTATTTAATTACTTGCCACCAATGTATTCTCTACTGAAATTTCTGACCAGAACTTTGTTTGCCTTACAATTGGAATTTGTCAACCAAAACAAAAGAGAGATCCAACAGTTTACACAAGGGAATTATGTAATTACTCAACCTGGAATAAAGTGCATGGAAGTTAACTAGGCAATGAGAACTTCACAGATGCTGTGGGGTGAGAATAGAAGGTATTAGTTAAGCTCCACAGAACTTGAGGAGAACTATCTGTATTAGTTACCTTTCTATTTCTGTAATAAAACATTATCACCAAGTCAGCTTATAGGAGAAAAGTTATTTGAACTCATAGTTCCAGAGGGTTAGAGTTCACCATAGCATAATGAAGGAATGATAGGAGGCACAAGATGCTGGGGACTCACATTCTGAATTATAAGCACTGTTAAGAGAGTGTGAACCAGAAATTATGTGAGTATTTAAATTATCAAAGCTCACTCCCAGTAACACACTTCCTCCAACAAGGCCACACCTTCCCAACCTTCCCAAAGAGTTCTATACCAACTGGAGACCAACCATATTTCAAATGCCTGAGAATATGGGGGCATCTAATTCAAAATACTATATTCCACTTCCTAGCACCTATAATTTCCTGGGCAAATAATGATGCAAAACTCATTTAGTCCAATTTCAAGACTCTCCATAGTCTTTTGCAGGCACAACACTGTTTAAAAGCCCAAAGTTTCTTAATTGTAGCCTTTGTGCAACCAAAATGCAAATTATATACTTCCAACATATAATGGCACAGAATATACATTACCATCCAAAAGAGAGGGGTGGCCACACAATGAGGAAATACTGTACCAAAGGAAACCCCAACCCAGCAAAGGAAACAGCAATTTCTTGAGCTCCATGTCTGATGCCAAAATTGGCTCTCCTTTTTTTTTTTATAGATAAATCTTTTTGTTTTATTTTACATACCAACCACAGTTTCCCCTCCCTCCTCTCCTCCCATTTCCTCCTCTTACAGCTTTGCTAAATGCAACACATTTTCTGTCTTAGACTCATTCTACCCCCGTGTGCAGACAGCAAGCACCTCTGGCATCTCCAGCGTCTTGGGATCTCTTAATGCAAACTAGGCTTTGCTTTCAGAGCTTCATGCAACAGCTTCTCAGGGTGTCCACTCAGGGACTCCCCTGCCGCATATGGCCTAGCTTCAGCAGCTCTCTAAAATCATGGAGGAAGATTCCATGACCCATTATCTTACACTGCTCTAAAGCTAGAACCATGTAAACCACTGCTAAATTTAGCTGCCAATTTGGAGTGAATCATTGACACAGTGAACGACATCTGCTGTATCTTTGGTTCGTTTGTTGTTCTCTAGGAGCAAAAAAGGCCTTGTGCTCTCTTTCACAACTGGAAGCTTAGGTGGTTGGGGTGATGTCTTGAGGGCAACCTTCCAGTGCAGATGAGGTCTCTCCTTGATCTCCATGTTCCTTTCTGTACAAGCATTAGATGGAACATGAGGTTTCCTGGTACTCTTTTTCTCATCAAACTGTACATTTTTGTTTTCCGTCTGCCCCACTTGGTCTTCTTCATTACAAACCTGAATGAGAGCGATTAGTAATAACAGCACAACAGAATCAATACTGGGCTATCTTGAAATCTCCCCCAAAGAAATTAGTCCATTAATTTTTTTCCTTTTGTTGAAAATAGCTTCTTATACAAGATATCTGAATTACAGTGGCTCCTCCCTCCACTCTTCCTAGTTCCTCCCCACATGCCTACCCCCTCCAGATCCATTACTGATCTCTCATTCATTATAAAAGAAGTCTTCAAAGAGATAACAACCAAACACAAAAAAACATAAAATAATTTAAGATAAAACAAAAACCATCACATCATGTCGAGGCTGAACAAGGCAAGCCAGCAGAAGGGAAAAAAAAAAAGAGCAGGGACAAGAATCACAGAACCACTCTTCCACACACTCGGGAGTCCCATAAAATACTCAGCTGAAAGCTATAAAATACACTCAGCTGACCTGGCAAGAGGCCAGTGCTGGCCTTGTTTCAGACTCTGTGCATTCATAAGAGACTTGCTCGGTTGACTCAGGGGGTCTTATTCTGGTGTCCTCCGTGTCCTCTGACTCTTGTACTCTTTCTGCCTCCTCTTATATGGGGTTCCCTGAGTTCTGAGGGGAGGGACTTGATGGAGATAGCTCATTAGAGCACTGTGTTGTAAGTTCTCTCTCTCTCTCTCTCTCTCTCTCTCTCTCTCTCTCTCTCTCTCTCTCTGCATAATGTCAAGCTACAGGTCTCATCATCTGTTCCCATCTGCTGAAGAAGGAAGTTTCTCTGATGATGATTGAACAAGGCAGTGATCTACGAGTATATCAAAATATCATTAGATTTATTTTATTAACACATTTTTAGATGTTTGAATTTACCTTAGGTCGCTGGGCTGTATAGTCTCTGGTTCTTGTTTACTGAAGCAGTGTTGGGTAGTTGGTTATGGGTTCCTTCTTGTGGAGTAGGCCCTTCTTCAAATTAGGTATTGTTTGGTTACTCCCACAAGCTGTGTGCCACCATTGCCCTAGCATATATTGCAGGAGGGACAGATTACAGATCAAAGGTTTTGTGGTAGTTGTTTCTCTGCACATTCTTTTCCTGAACCGTATCTCCCCTACCTCTCTCCACCTGATCCTCCTGTTTCCATCCACAACCACCACAACCTAGCCATAAAATCTGTTCTAAGTCACTCTCCCAGGGAGATACATGTTCCCCTCTTAATCCCTTCTTCCATATCTAACAACTCTAGATCTATGGATTGGAGTTTGGTTATAATTTGTTTAATGGCTAATATCCACATCTAAGTGGATACATGTCATATTTGTTTTTCTGGGTCTGGAATAACTCACTACAGATTTTTTTTTCTAGTTAAATCCACTGTCCTGCAAGTTTTTTTGTCATTAAAAAAAACTGTGTAATACTCCATTGTGTAAGTGAGCTACAATTTCTTTATCCATTCTTCTTTTGATAGACATTTTTTCTAGTTTCTGACTATTATGAGTATAGCAGCAATGAAAATGTTTGGGCCAGTCTCCTTGTCTTAAGATGAAGTGCCCTTTGTGTATATGCCCAAAGGTGGTATAGCTGGATCTTGAGGGAGATAGATTCCCAACATTCTGAGAAAATGTTATTTTGATTTCCAAAGTAGTTGTACAAGTGTGCACTCCCACCCACAATGGAGAAGTGTTACCCCTATTTCACATCCTCTCCAGCATGAGCTGTCACTTGTGTTGTTGATTTTAGCCATTTTGACAGGTGTAAGATAGAATTTCAAAGTAGTTCTCATTTGCATTTTCTTGATGACTAAGGGATATTGAACATTTCTTTAAGTATTTTTCAGCCATTTGAAATTCCTCTATTGAGAACTCTCTGTTTAGATCTATACTACATTTTAAATCAGATTATTTGGTTTTTTGATACCTAGTTTCTTGGTTTCTTTATATATTTTGTATGTTAGTCATATATCAGATATGGAGTTGATAAAAATATTGCCCAATCTGTAGGCTGCCACACTGTCCTATTGATGGTGTCCTTTGCCTTACAGAAGCTTCTCAGCTTCATGAGGTCAATTTAATAATAGTTTATCTTAGTGTCTGCACTATGGGTATTCTGTTCAGAAAGTTATCTCCTATGTGAATACATTCAAGGCTATTCCACACTTTCTGTTCTATCAAATTCAGTGTATCTGATTTTATATCAAGGTATTTGATCTACTTGGACTTGAGTTTAATTCAGGGTGATAAATATGGATCTATTTGCATTCTTCTACATGAAGACATCCAGTTTGACCAGCACCATTTGTTGAAGATGCTGTCTTTTTTTCACAAATGTATCTTTGATGTCTTTATCAAAAATCAGCTTTCATAAGTGTGTCTATTTATGTCTGGATCTTTAATTCGATTCCATTCATCAATATGGCTGTTTTTATGATGTCTCAGTTAAAGTTTCTATTGCTGTGAGGAGATACTGTGACCATAGCCATTCTTATAGAGGCAAACATTTAATTGGGGTGGCTCACTTACAGTTCAGAGGTTCAGTCCATTATCATCATGGTATCACATGGTGCCAGGCAGGCAAGCATGGTGCTGGAGAAGTAGCTGAGTGTCCTACATCTTTCAGGCAACAGGAAGTGGTGTGGGTGTTACACACTGAGCGAAGCTTGAGCAAAGGAGACCACAAAGCCCACCCCCACAGTGACACACTTCCCCCAACAAGGCCACACCTACTCCAACAAGGCCACACCACCTAATTGTGCCAGTCCCTATGAGCTTATGGGGCCAGTACATTCAAACTACCACATCATATGCCAATATCATACAATTTTTATTACTATAGCTCTGTAGTATA